CAATCAAAACCTTCAATATTCACTTGTGTACAAGAGGAGGCTAATATCCATCAAACATCAACCCATGCAACGCCAAAACACTGCTTGTTGTACTGCAGCGGGGATCATGATAAGACATCCCCCCCCCCATGATTGATTGTCGATGGCAGTGCAAACCAGCAGTGATTCTGCATAACGTCCAAGAATTTTGCATACATACCTAATATTGCCAGCCCACAGGTAGGTGCATAGCCAAAGCCAAAAATATATATACAACTGACAGAAACGGGCTGCCAGAAAATAACAGAAATAGTATCAAGACGCACCGAAATAGAGTACGCAACGCCGTCCTATCAATACCGTCAGCAATAGATGTTTCCTGGGAACGCCCCCGCCCCGCGAAACACAATGAATGCACGAAAACAAACAAATAAACAGCAACAACAATAGCCAGCGCCCTGCAGCTACATAGAAATGGGAGCAGACAACGTCAACGCAAAACGAAATCAGCGCAGATTCATCACGAAATCGCGGTGGGCGCAAAAAGCTTCTTTGGACAGCAGCAGTTTGGTCAGAAAATCCGCTCGTTGAAGGTCTGATCGCACATACATGCACTACACCCGAAACTCCCCCCGTGCCACACGCTCCCGGACAAAATGGTGTCGAATGTCGATGTGCTTCGAAATCGGGGTAGTAGCCGGGTTACTCGCCAAGTGGATAGCCCCAACATTATCCTCGTGAACCAAAGTACACCCCACGTCCCGGTCCGGAAAAATAAAACTCCACACATGCTGCAAAAAAATAGCCTCCTTCATCCCATCCGACAGAGTCACATACTACTCGGCCTCCGTCGAGGACAGGGTGGTAACGCTCCTCTGCGTCCTAGACAAATACATCACACATGCCCCCGCAAACATCACACATACATGCACCAGAAACAGACCGTCGGTCCTTGGTAGGACACTTGATGTGGCTGACGAAAACATGCCGCACAGAAAACAGAGTCTGCAACACGAAGGGGTCAAATCATCCCCTTTCGCCCAGCACGTACCGAGGACGCACAATGCCTACCGTGCATAGTCTAAGAAACTACTGGAAACCGTTCGATGTGAGAGACTTCAGACTGCAGAGACAACCCCATTTCCACCTAATGCACCTCAACCAACAAACCCCCGCGGAGCTAAATTTACTCCTTGACCGCCACGGCCATGCACCAGTCGCTTCGGGGGCGCACTGTCGGGTGCCCCGTCTCTCCGGGCCTCTCAGCCTCACAGACGGTTTGGCCTGCGAAAAGAGTGCCATCATACTCACGCGCATCGATGACGTCAACTATTTTCACGGGGCATGAAACCACGTTGTGGCAGATGTCGTGGTCGCTAATCATGGGAAATTCCAATTCCTTCTCGACGATGTTCCAGTTCTCGTCTCTTGACCTGAGCTTCGTGTGCTTTCCGAGGAACTTGCCGTCACTGTTGAAGCATGTGAAAGCGGAAACCCAGCCCGTGATGTAGTTCACCCCCGAGCCCTGGCGTTTATCTGTGAGAACCTGACGAACGCGCAGACAACACAAATGTATGCGGCGTTCATGTATTCAAGAGATTCCATGGGAACACTGCTACTACTACAGCGCCCAGGAAACACATCGACATGTTTCTCCAGATTGATCGGCGACCTGATACGCTGAGACTACTCCTGTGTGTGGTGTATAGAAGATTGTGCATGCGAGCGATTTGTAGGCATTCGTCCTTTCTTTGTATTTGAAATTCGAGTAGGTGCCGGGTGTTGCACCCGAAAGAAAGACAGGCCTGACCCAACAGAAGAACCTCACGTACTTGCAAGCTAAACACAAGGAATCACGTTCGGTGTAATTATTTTGTTGTGCCCGACACGCACGCGCGGATCTCTCTATGTACGTACCCTGTCCCAGAACTCGAGTGTTTCCGGGCTCCCAGGATGCTCCGCTGACTTCACGAACCCGTCGCACACCTTGCGCAGGTACCCCACCCATATCTGCATGACCTTGTCCTCCTCGGGATTGCCGTCCACCTCGAACTCGAGAAGGCGCTCGATCTTCTCCCGGAGCAGCTTCCAGTCTCCCACTGTGCCCCTGAGGGTCACCGAGGGGATGCCACACCCGCACATGAAGCTGTACTCGAAGTACCCCTGCAGGCTCGCCATCGCCGTCGCCGCAGCACACACCTCGTCCCTCTCCGTTGTCGTTGAGAAGCCCGGCCGGAACCAGTCAGCGAGTTCGGGTGACTTGATGTTCTGCCTGATTAGCCCCAACAAATCCCTGATCATACGCGGGTAGTCCGCGGTACGCAGCGTTCCGTCACTTGCTACTACGAGCTCCTTCTTGCCCTCGTGTTGGACGATCCTGTCCCGTAGTCCCTCCGCGTTTTTGTTCACGTACGCGCAGAACTGGGCGAGGATGGCCAACCACACGTCATCAGGGCTGATCACCAAGTTGCAGTGAGTGTTGTAGGCGGTCATGATCGCGGAGATGAGGCCTTTTTCTGCACGTGCCAACCCACCTTCGGTGGTAGTGGCCACCCCTGCGTCTGCCGACAGCGCGACGATTTCTCCTGGAAATTTCTTCTCCTCATTGGGAATGCTGCTGAGAGAAGGAAAACGGGGAGTTTGTGGAGCGAAAGATCCTGTGAGTATATATATATACAATGTAGTTAACATGATATTCGGTTTTTGTTGGGTTTGGGGTGTTGGTTGGTTGTGTTTTTTTTGGGTATTTGTTATTTTTCAGGTTTGGGGACGCAATAGAGGGCGGCCAGAGGTCGGTCGACAAGGAATCAAAGACAGGCGAGCCGTCGGCGTGAACCATCGCTGCTCGTCTTTGGTACCCACAGACTATTTCTCAATTAGTTCACTCGTCGTGTGTCAACCGTAGAGGGGAGCATAGAATAGGTTGCGTATGTTCAAACACTTGAAAATGCAGCAGGCTGCCTTACACAAACTGGGACGCGGACGTCTACCTTGGATAGCTGTTGTCCTGCTTCTTCAACCTCCACGCCAAAGAAACATTTTCCCAACATCGTGTATGTAGCTGCCAACGTGTCGTACTATATAGTTGAAAGTTGAACAGCTCATGAAACAAAAATATAATCACCAACAAGGCACACCTCCTGCGAAACCTTCCACGTCGGTAAAGCCCTTGCCCGCTTGTGAAGACCGCAGTGAAAGCGGGATGCTGCTCGAACGCAGCGCGCAAGGTGGAGCTACTGAAGACCCGATCGAAA